TACCTACTATATATATATATATATATATATATATATATATATATATAAGAGAAAGAGAGATAGATAGAGAGACATTTAAAAACACTCACGATTAATTTCTACAGTATTTCATTCATTGCTCATCACCATCTAGAGTCTATTGGGTAGCTCGATTATCTAATAGTGTTTAACTCTTAATTAGTTTTTTATAAATTGGATTAACCTCAAATTTTGATGGTGTGTACATCAGTGAGGTACATCTAAATCGTCATCATCATTATAGCTTTTTTTCAACTATTTGGGGTTTGTTACGCGAATCTTGGTCTGCCATTCTACTTAATTCAGGGTCATACCTTCAGTGAGGCCATAAGTCTTAGATCTTTTCTCACTACTTCTAATCATGTCCTTTTGGGTCTATTTTTACCCTATTTTAGCCTTCCACTTGAACTAATTCGTACCTCCTAATAGAAGTTGTACTGGATCTGTCCTACACATGGGTAGTCCACTTAAGTCTACTTTCTCTCATCTTATTACCTATTTGTGTCGCACCTAAGTTTTTCGGAATGTATTCATTTCGAATTCTATCCCTTCTTGTTTTGTCATCCATCTCAATATCTTCATCTCAACTACATTTATCCTATAGGTATGTTTGTTGACTGCCTAGCATTTTGTCCCATGAAGCAAAATTGTCTGACAAAACTTTTACTTCAGCTTAATGGGGTATGCGACGATCATATAAAACTCTGATTGTATACCTTTACTTCGCTCACCCAGCTCTAATTCTGGGCGACATTTTCTTCAATCTCACCATTTTTTTGGATTATCGACCCAAGATATAAGAAGTGTGCTTTTTTTGGTATTTATTGGCTATCAATTTTAATATACTATCGTTTCTATTTCTATTATTACTAAACTCATATTCCATATTTTGCCTTGGTCTGGCTAATTTTAAAACAATTAGATTCTAGAACATCCCTTCAAAGTTCAAACTTTGTGTTGACGTCGTTTTGGGTTTCATCGATCAAAACTATATCGTCCGCGAACAACATACACCACGTTACCTCATCTTGTAGGTGGGTAGTTAAGTCATCCATAACTAAGACAAAAAGTATGGGCTCAATGTTGATCACTGATGAAATAAAATATACTCCTATGAATATTTAAACATGGGAAAAGTTTATATAGAGTCGAGGCTCTAAACAATCAAATTTGAGCCTACCTAAAAAATTTCACTAGAAGAGGTTGTTTTGATGCCCAAATATTCTCAAATTGATCATCTTGACATCAAGATACATGAACATGAGAAAAAAATGGATTTCAAGTTTTGAATGTAGTGTATGCTGTAACACATTTTTTTACCATCAATTTTCAAGTTTTCATAGATATGTCAAGCTACACTATTTTT